CCTTGTGGACATAGAGCCAAAATCGTCTATAAGGTCTAAGGCCTTATGAATGATCTATACGGTCTAAAGGCCTCTGGTGGTTGACCTCCTCGCAACAAGCGGTCGTTGCTCGTCTTCAGCATCTTACGGGGGAGTGGCTACTTTTCAGAGACGTGACTGCTGAGTCCATGGGGCGTACAGCAGGCAAGATCGAGAGCCTTGAGTGTTTGGTAGCCAGGCTGGAAGCTTCTGCCACAGCTTTGTTTTCTTCCTCCGGGTCTGGTAAAGGGCCCAAGCTGCATCGAACAGCGGAGACGACAGATGCCGAGGTTGAAGGGATCCAGACCGCCAAACCCATCGAGGCTGAGCGGCTGATTTTCAAAGGCCGTCCAGCTTTCGATCCGCTGCCTTACTTGGAGGAGCCTGCTCGGTCTTTGTATCAGGACCCCCTGAAGTTTGCCAAGCATCCTGATGAGCCGTTCCTGCCGTCAAAGTCCGAGGTGCTCGAAAAGAAATACTTGGATTGCTGGCTGCTCTCGATGCCACTCATCGTTTGGCTTTGTTTGCCCCCTCCGAGCTTCGAATGGAACACAGAGCTGGGATGTTTGCATTGATGAAAAATTTGACGACCGACCGTTTGATTTTGGATTGCCGTCCAGCCAATTTGCTTGAACCAGGGTTGAATCAGTGGACGCAGACTATGGGATCCCTTGTTCCTCTTTTGAGCTGGCATGTTCCCCCAGGTCACAAGATTGTTGCAGCCGGTGAGGATCTTAAGGATTACTACTATTACTATGTGATCTCCCCCATCCGGTCCAAGAGAAACGCGTTAGCAATGCGACTGACTCAATCGGAGGCCAAGCGCTTTCGAGGCGCGTACCGCAGAGCTGACAAAGGTGCAAAGTTTTTGGTGCCCGCGTTGGCCACGATGGCTATGGGAGATTTGAACTCGGTCGAATTCGGCCAACAAGCACATGTCAGACTAGGGCTTGTTCATGGAGTTGTCAAGATCTCTGACTTGCTAACATTGCGAGGCCGGTTCCCTAGGCAGCAGTGGGCAGTTGGCTACGTAATTGATGATTTCATTGTGGTTGAGGCAGTTCCCGCAGATCTTCCTCCAAGTGCTTATTTCTCAACTAGCGTAGCTGACGAGATGACTGCTGTTTATGCCCGGGTTGGACTGGCAGCGAATGATAAGAAGAGGTTTCGAGCTGAAGACTCACCCCAATTTTGGGGGATCAGTGTTGATGGCAAAGCTTGCCTAGTTCGAGCTCAGCTTGATCGAGTTCTTCCGCTGTGTTATATTACTGCTCGCATTGCTCGGGCAGGCAGTGCTTCAAGACATCTTTTGGAGGTCATTGCTGGAGCCTGGACTGCAATCATTCAAGCACGGAAGCGCTGTATGTGTTTGCTGGAGACGGTTTTTGTCGAAATCCAAGCGCATGACTATGGCACGGTGTTTCCCTTGACAGTGCAACTGGTGTCTGAACTGTGGACTCTGGCTATTTTGGCCCCTTTGTATGTAACTGACCTTCGCACCTGCACTTCGCCTGAGCTTTATGCGGTTGATGCTTCAGATGCAAAGCTAGCAGGAGTTGTAACACGGCTTCCTTCAGAATTTGCAAGAGAGTTGACTAGACACACTATGACCAGGGCGGCATGGTCTCGACTGCTCTCGCCTTGGAAGTGTCGCCAGCGGCACCTAGGCGAGCTTCATCCTGAAGAGGAAGTGCCTGCTGGTGAGATGCCAGCTCAGGCGCACCCAGTCTGGAGTCAGCTGATGAGATCTTGTCGTTTTTCTTCGTTGTTTTGCAAACCAGTACCTAGGCGACAGCACATCAACATTAGTGAACTCAAGTCAGTTCTTCAGGCTGAGACTTTGCACGCTGTCAGTTTTCCTTCCACACGATGCAACATTGGCACAGATTCGCAGGTAGTGCTCGGCGCAGTAGTGAAAGGCAGAGCTTCATCTCATACTCTGAATTTTTTGTTGCAGCGTCATCTACCCACAGTCCTAAGCCATAATTTGTATCCTGGACATCAATACATCGCATCAGCCGAGAATCCGGCGGACGACCCTACTCGAGATAGACCTATCCGAGACCCCGAAGAGTCCCCTCCTTTTTGGCTTTCGGCAGCGTTTGATGGCCGGTTTGATGAACTGGACGCATTCTTGAAAGAGCGCAGAGCCGACGAGGCCACACTGGCGCGAGTGCCGACGTTTGTTGACTCGCATGTACCAGATGAGTGGCTGCAGTCGGAGAGACAACTTAGGAGGCAAGTTTTTCAGCAGCGTAAGCACTGCGGCATTGAGGCGGTGAGGGACCTTCAAAGTGTCACTGTGCAAACACCATCTCTGTGGTCGCATGATATGTTTGCTGAACTTCCTCCCGAAGCAGAGAGGGCACTGAGGCAGCTTCCTGAGAGTTATTTTGTTTTCCCCAGACATTCAAGCATTCCGGGAGTCTGGACCTTTTTTCGGGTAGCAGAGGCCTCGCTCGAGCTCTTGCAAGACACACCAACGGCTGGGTCCTGACATATGACATAGCTTTTGATGCAAGACAGGACTTGCTGGCGGGTTCAGTTCAGAGTGAAATAGAGAAAATGGTAGCCCTTGGATGTTTTCGGATTTTGAGCAGGACCAGTTTGCGCAAGCTTTTCCAGAGCTGTGCGACCTCCTGTCCGGACACGTTTATGCCCTCGCGGTCTCAGTGGGATCACTCCCAACATGAAAGCCAAAGTAGCCCAAGGTAATAGTTTTTCAGCCTGGCTCGCAAGCGTGGTGCTCAGTTGTACCCAAGAAGAGGTTTTAGTACTAATAGAGAATCCCTGGATGTCATATCTGTGGGATCAACCAGAGTGGCTCAACCTGTTGGAGGACTCTCGTTGCGCCTTTTTCACCACTGACTTTTGTTGTTGGGGGGCACCATGGAGAAAACGCACTCGTTTCTTCACTAACAGTAGTCTGAGATCTTTGAGTTTCCTTTGTAGGTGTAGCTCTCCGGCGATGCACACTCGTTTAGTCGGCTACTCCAAGCAACATAGGAGACCTTGGACAGTGGCTGAAGCTTACCCAGCACGACTCTGCAATTGTCTAGCAATGTTTTTGAGCAACGAACTGCTCCCGGTTGAACGACAACGACGTTTGGACATTGCTGAGTGTGCCAAGTGCAACCAACAAATAGGAGAAGCCTCACAGCCAGGCCCTCGACCTCGTCGTCCACGACCGGAGTTAGATCTAGAAGAGGTTCAGCTTTTGTCTTCTCAGACGTTGTTTATCCAGCAAAGAGCCCGGAATTTGTTCGCTTCTTGGTTGCAATCTGAATTGAGTAGCGCAGCTTGGGCTAGCGTGAGCCAAGAACCAGCGCTTTGGGCGATTTTTCTGCGAGCCTTTGGTAGGCATTTGTATATGGCACAACAGCCTTTGTACATCTTCAGGCATCTAGTAGTGTATTACCAACGCAATCATAGTTCGTATCCCGGACCTCTCAGTGATGCTTGGGACTTGATTGCTAGATGGGAGCGGGTGCAGCCAGTTGAGCATCGGACGCCCATGCCAAAACTGTTGTTCGACGCAATGATCTGCCTTGCTTGGATGTGGGGCTGGAAGCGATTCGCTATGGTGTCTCTACTTGCCTTCCATGGTAAGCTTCGTATAAGTGAGCCGCTAAGAGCATGTCGACAAGATCTTTTGTTGCCTGACGACACAGGCGCCGAAATCCAAGTTGCCTTCCTGAATATTGAAAAGTCTAAGACTAGCTTCCGAGGTAAAAGCATAGTGCAGCACACTAAGGTTTCAGATGACTTGACTTTGTTTGTAGCTTCTCAAGTTGTGGCAAATTTGCACGCTGGAGACCGTCTGTATCCAGCGACTCCCAGCACCTATAGGAGACGCTGGGATCGTTTGTTACAAGCACTAGAAGTCAGCAAGTCGTGGCGCTTGACGCCCGGGACACTCAGAGCGGGTGGGGCGATTCACGCCTACCATTCGGGGACACCGATCACCGAGATTCTCTGGTTGATGCGCCTTAAGCATTTGAACACTTTAGAGAGTTATCTTCAGAGTGTTGCTGCCATGAATATTCTTCTGAAGCTTCCTGACGCCGTTCGCAACCGTATTCGATCCTTTTCTAGTTTGCTTCCAATCCTTTTGCGCTGTTCTCCTTAGCAGAGTGTAGACACAAACCTACAGACGCACAACTGCTGTAGCACAACTGCTATCAGTCTGAGTGGTGGATGGTGCGGGTTGACCTCACTAGCTGCGCCTTTTGGCCGTTGAACTTCGTCTGCTGCCTTTCCATGCCGACAGCTAGAGCGTGAGGTCGATGCTTCGCAGCGCTGCTCCACACGAGCTCAGTTGACTTGGAGAGTTGAGAAAAGGGGCGAGCGAGAGACAGGCAAGCATTATATATATATATATGGAAAGTGTTTTGGCTACACTGCTACACACGTCCCCGAGAGAGGTTCTAAGTGTAAGGCTTTGAACAATGGGAAAACCTACACTTACTGTAGAACACAAAACTTAAAACTAGAAACAATAACATTTTAGATCAATACTGTAAATGGCCCCAATAAGAATGTGCATGTGATTGTCCGTCGCAGAAGCCACAGGAAGCTTCTGAGTGGTTTTGCGGTTACTGTATATACTTCATTGTTTACATACATATCATATTTGTGTATATTGTATATGCACTTGCTGCACCAGGAAGGTTATATAATGTTTTTTGCACTTATGTTTGTCCCAACATCTATATACAAATATATAGTGGATGCTGGTTTATATGGGGCCTATTTCAATGCACAGCTGACCTCACTATGGAAAAAACTGAGTTTTGCCAACTTGCATTGAGGGCCGTGTGTGAAAAGTCAGGAGTTTTGCAAAAATGTTCTAAGCGCAGCACAAAGAACAAACAACTTGATATTCTGACGCGGTTTTAAGTGCGTTGTCAACGTATTGGAAAAATTGTTCTAAGTGATTGTTTGTCCGTCGCTATATTACCATTTTTTGGCCAGTGCGCCAGGTTCAGAAGCGGGCGTCACAGGAGCGGGTGAACGATCAACGTGCTAAGTGTACCACACATTCAGAATCAAAACGTGGTCGTGGAACTGGGGGACAGCTGCCTGTGCAAAGCTTGCGAACTTGCCGTAGGATTCGGAGATGCGGCGAAGGTTGCAGAGCTTGGAAAGCTGGACTTCTACAACCTTTCCAAGATTCGAAAGCGAGGCAAAGTCGTAGGCCTTAGTGTGTTTTAGCACATGTTAGTATCTGAGCTTTTGCTCAGAACAACAAGGATCGACGTGAGCAACTCCAGACGATTCAGTCTTGACTATATATATAGTAGGTTCTGCTTCAGTCCAGATTTCATAATAATTATGGGTTTATCAGGTTTCGGGTTTTCTTTGGTCACAACTCTCAAAGGGGCGCATGTTGATTCACAAATCAAAAGCATGACAGATCTCGGAGCTGCACAGCGCCGTGGACCGTGCCGCCACTTTTGTTCTTCAAGCAGCGTTCTTCTAAGAATTCAATGTTTGCAGTTTTTTGGCAATTTTCCATATGTTTCTTATCAATTTTTCCTTATGTGGGTCATGCAGGACGTGAGCGTAAAGCAGGTAACGCAGTTGAAGGATCAACTTTTGCAGCTCGGTGACGATTATTGGCCTTCCGTTTGTGAGACAACATTGTAACATCATGTAGAATAAGAATCGAATGATTGCATGGAAGATAATAGACACTTGTACCTGGTGCTTGACCAGTCATACTATGAATGAGTGTATGAATGGACCTACTTTGTTCGGTGTTCGCGGTTTCTCACGCGGCTGTGCGACCTGCGGGTTTGCTTGGCAGGCAGCAGGTGGATGACTGGAAGTCTGGCCACGGGTTGGTGATTGAGCACAGCTCAGCCTGCATGTTTATATTATGCAAAATCTGGGATCTAGGACTCCCATGCGTCGGGTTGAGTCTTGTCTCGTGCATGTCGCAAGGTAGGACCAGCATTTGCAGCAAGCATCCAGAACAAAACTGGCTCAGTCTGAGTAGTGAGATCAACACTCTAGGGAGGTGGGTGCGTGCTTGCGTTTATACAACGACCATCAACGACCTAGTTTGCCTGGGTTGTCAATTCAGTCATGGGGCACCGGCACTGAATGGACTCTTGGGGTGGCTCGTTGCATTTGTGCCACTATGAATTGTGAACAAGTGGTATCAGGCACCAAGCTCCATGACCGCATGCGCAAAGGCCTGTGCCTCAGGTGTGCCTTTGTGATTTTTGTGCTAGGTGGTTTGCGGAATCGAAGTGGCACATGTGGGGCAGCACGTCAAGCTTTGCAGAGTGGCACAGTGTGCAAATTTCAGTGCTCCTTTGTTTTGTGTTTGTTGACTGAAGGATTGCGTGCCCTCATGACAGCTCATGAGCGACTTGTCTGGAGTGAGTTGTATTTACATAAGTTCCCACTCGAACTGCTTCAGTGCACTTTCAGGACCCACCGAGATGAAGTGCAGCAGGCGCACAAAGTCCTTCTAGAGCGCTGTGAACAACAGCTGGAGAGCAAGCTCCAGGAGGCGCCGAACTGAGCGAAGAATGAAAAGTACTTGTGAATGAAGGCACTCCGTTGAACCTGCTTTCTGGCTGCCGTTTAGGCACAAGGGTTCTTTGAAGGTAAAAGGGGGTTTTGTGCGACCTCGCTTGTTTTACATTGGTAGCGTTGAGCCTGTCCCACGTCCGGTGGACGTGGCGTGGTGAGATCGGGGTGTCTGAGGGTGGCTCTGGGGCTATCGGGTAAGGCAGAGCGGTTGCGATGCCAGCACCCGGCGTCGCCGTTGGCGCTGAAGGCGGAGAAGAACAAGGTGATGATCAAGATGACCGAGAAGAAGAAACTACGTCTCAAAGAACCTCTGAACAGTCCTGGGGGCGAAGGGGCTGGTCAGAAGAGGAGTGGAGGCAATGGAAGAGCTTCTACGCTTGGGGACCTGGACCTGGCGGAGAAGGGGGCTCGGCTCAGGCAAATGGGCAAGGGCCATCTTCTTCCGTAGAAGGTTCAGCTGCACCTACGGCTCCACGGGTTTCGCAGGGTGACCCTTGGTGGACTACTTCCGGTGGAGATCCATGGATGGGGGGCGAGGACATGACAAAATTCAGGTCCCGGAGTACTCTGGAGAAGATGATCGTGATGGGCTGAAGGCCAAGGGGTACATCCGGAAGGTCGAAGCATGGAGACGGGTGACACGCCTTTCTCGGGGCAAACAAGCTCTGATGTTGTACAACAGCCTGTCAGGCAGAGCCTGGCGGGATGCAGAAGAATTGGACCTATCCCTCCTTGACACCGACAACGGCGTGGAGATATTCCTATCCTGGATCAAGGACAAGTACATGGACCGGGAAGTCACGAAGGTGGGCCGCTACATGTCTGACTTTTTCAAGGTCCTCAAGAAGACGGCCAACCAGGACATCCGTGACTTCAACCAGGAGTTTGACAGGCAGATCAGCCGGCTTCGCGAAGTTGGTTGTACTCTCCCGGACAACTGCCTGGCTTGGTGGTATGTGGACAAAATGAGGTTGGACAACGCCACTGAGCTGAACCTCTTGTCTTCGGTGGGCAACCTCTACAACCTCCAGAAGCTCCAAGATGCAGCGATCATTCAGGACAGGATGAACCGACGCCTGTGGGAGAGACGACCTGACGGAGACAAGAGGACTGAGGAGAAAAGGAAAGGACACCAGGCTCTGATGACCACGTTGGATGAAGACGACGAGGACAACGAGGAGCCGGGCCTCTCCGACATTGAGGAGGAGGAGTTCATCGACGATGAGCACACCCATGAGGCCTTCGTCGCTTTCCGGACGCCAAGAGCAAGTACCGGGCAGCTCTGAAAGAACGTGGATACACCCAGTCGAAGGATGAACGGCTGCAACAAGCCAAGGCCCGGAGCTACTGTTCCGTATGCCACAAGAAAGGACACTGGCACAAAGATCCTGAGTGCCCCGCCAACAAAGGGAAACAAGGTGGGGAGGCACACACAACTCATGTGGTCTACATCACCCAGAATGTGGACACCAAGAACGACTTTGAAGAGTAATGGGGCGGGGCACTGCATGGGGAACTACGTTGACTCCATCGATGACACGGACTACTTCGTCTCCTTCATGGACCTGCAGCGGAACGACATGACCACGGACCGGAACAGTGACCTGGTTTGGACATGCTATGCCGTGGACTCCGAGATCGAGAAGAGTGTCCCGGAGGCAATGTTCCTGGCCATCACCGACTGCGGCTGCAGTCGTACACTCGCGGGCAGGAGTTGGGCCATGAACTTCATTGGATACCTCAGGAGGACCAACATCCCGTACTTCATTATGAGGCAGGAGGAGACATTCAAGTTTGGGGGGAGCGTCTATACCCTTCGAAGCAGGCCCTGGTCACGTGGTTGGCAATCCAAGACTCATGGTTTGCCGTGAAAATCAGTGTGGTCAGCGCTGATGCGCCGCTTCTTCTCAGCCGACCTGCACTTGGAGCCCTTGGGATGCGCTACGACATCGCCCAAGGAGTGGCTGATTTTTCCCATTTGCATGTGCACTCAGTGCGCATGATCATGAGTGCCTCTGGCCATCCTCAGGTGGCAGTGACGAGCAAGAAGACTCCGTTTCTGTCCTGGCCAGAGCGTTGTGATTGGAGTCTCACGGAGATCTATGTACCCACAACGCAAGCAGTATACATGGCCGCGAATGGGGAGCAGCTTTTCATACCCAAGAAACTTTCAGCCGGGGTACATGACATGTTGAGCCGGGAACCTTTCCACCATGAGACCTTCCTGCATTGGTGGCGCTCCAAACAATACTACAGGGATTTTTGGATTGAGACTCCCCACCACCTGTACCGCATCCATGTGACACCTCGGAGATCGTCGTTCGACCCTCGTTCATGGCAAACGGCCAAAGGTGATTTGAAGGAAACTCTACTAGCTCGACTGGCAGCCCATTGTGAAACTGTCACCATCCCTTGCACCACATCAGCTTTGCCTTTGACACATGTTAGCAATTGGAGGGACAGGAGCCGGTCAAGTTCAAATATCTATGGGTCGGACGAAGCCGTTTTGAGAGACATCTCAAGCCCGCTTTCGAGGGTGACCTCGAGCACCGTGATCCTGCACCGTCCCCGGATGTCATCGAGCCAGACGTCGCCATGGAAGATGAACAAGCCGGAGCTCACCTCAACCCTGGTGGCTATGGGGATTCCAGTCCGGCCAGACTGGACGGTGCCCGAGCTTCGGTCAATCCTCTCGGAACAGAAGGAGAAGCCATCCACATCGGAACTCAAGGGCCTCTCGAGCCTGAAGTTGGATCAGCTGATCCAGAGGTGCAAAGATCTCAACATCAAGATCCCGGAGAAACCTACGAGGGGCCTTCTCATGAGGATGATCCGGGATGGGGTGCCACCGACGGATACGGAGGTCGTGCCTTTCGGCCGCTATCGAGGATACCGTTTCTCCGAGGTGCCTATATGAGCTATTTGGACTGGGCCATCGACGAGTGCCACAACAACGAGAACCACTCCCCGGACTTGGCTCGGCTGGCACGATGGGCGAAGGAGAACAAGGACACAGTATCCAGCTCGAAGACAACCTCGGGCTACAGGGATCCCGAGGAGACGGCAAAGAAGGCACCTCCGCCGGCGGAGCTTCCACCCAAGTCTGCCCTGCCGAAAGCCGGAGAGAAGTTGCCAATGAAGCCGAAGAGCAAAACAGCACCGAGGAAGAAAGGAAGGGCAACTACCTCGGACGAGGACGAGGACTACTCTCCATGGTCAGCGAGGCGGGGGACAACCACGAGAAGATCCTGGACCTGGAGAAGACGGTGCTGGAGCTCAAGGCGCAAATCGACGCTGCAAAACGCGACAGTACTGGCAACAAGTGAACGAGCACGGAGAAGAGGCGGAGGAAGGTAGAGAGGGGTGAGGCAGCCATTATGAACTCAGCCGGGACTGAGGTGAAAGGGGAGATCAACACAGAGGATGAGGCTGAGGACTACATCCTTGAGAACGACTTCAACACCACCGAGACTGAGGACGAGTCCAACGACCCTGGCAAGTATGTCATGACGGACTCTATGAAGCCAAGGTGAAACTGGTCTACCCCGATGACTATGACCGGGTGAAGCGCCTGCCTGGCCACAAGATGAAGCGGGTAGCCCGCAAAAGAGTCAAGAATTGCCCTAAGTCACCCAAATTGGTAATTTTACTAACCATAAAATTTACGTAAATTTTTGGTTTTACTAAGGCAAATTTACGTAAAAATTTACGTAAATTTAATAGTAAATCCAATTTAGGTTATGAGTAAATCCAATTTAGGTTATTAGTAAATCCAATTTAGGTTATTAGTAAATTTTTTAGGTTATGAGTAAATTTTTGTGAGCATGATTTTGAAGCAGAAAATGTCTCTATTTATGTGAGTTGGCTTTCTCCAAAGAGGCAGGTTTTCTACAGGACAACATGTACTTGAGGATATTTGCGCTATGGATTTTTGTTTTTGTTGACTGAGCATGCCAGGAGGTGTGGACTTTGCCTTTACTTGAAGGGATTGCATTTACTTGAGCATGTGTACCCTTCTTGACTTGAACAAAACATTTTTACTTGAGGGTGTCGACTTGGGAGTAAATTTACTTGAGGATATGTACTTTTCTTCACTTTAGGAAGAAGAGCATTCTCTGATTCTCTGATGGTTTTTGCCAGTGTGAGGGTGCATGTTTTATGTTTTGGCTCTGTGAGAAGAAGAAAAAGAAGAAGAACAAGAGACACCTCAGCAAGAAGGAAACAAGCAGTGAAAGGGCCAGGAAATTGCGCAAAGCTGACAAGATTCTTGGACTGAACTTTAAACAAGTTTGCTTGTTGAAAATTAATTGTTCAAGTTTGTATTAACTGCAGCAAATGAACAAGAGTTATGTCAATGTTGGCTTGAAACCATTGTCAGGAGGCGTGACCGCATCAATGCCATGATGGACTTGATGAGGACGCTGCAAGATGACAGCAGTTCATCTCTGGAATCCTTGGAGTGAAAAAGACACAAGCAGCCTTTGGGGTAGAGTTGAGGGCACGCATTGTGACATGATGTTGAGAAGCTGTTACATGAAGAAGATCTGACTTTACTTGAGAAGCTTTTACATGAGGGTGTGACTTTACCTGTTGAGCTTTTACTTGAGGATGTGATTTCACTTGAGCATGGCACACTTTACTTGAGCATGGCAGACTTTACTTGAGCATGGCACACTTTACTTGAGCATGGCAGACATTACTTGAGGATGGTTTTACTTGAGTCTATTTTACTTCAATGGTTGAGACTTTGTGTAAGTATACTTTACATGAAGATGCCATTCAACTTGGAATTGTGCGCTTAGTCTTGTTTAGTTTTGTTGTGAGTTGAAGTGTATTTGAAATATATTTATGAAATTTAGTTCAAAAAACTATAAATTTAAGAGAAAATATTGATGAATTCTTGATGAACTTTTGGTGCACTTTTGATGCACTTCTGATGTACTTTTGATGTACTTTTCAAAAGTGTATACACTTTTGATCAAAAGTGTATACACTTTTGTTAAAAGTGTATACACTTTTGAAAAGTACATCAGAAGTGCATCAAAAATTCATACAATTTTGACAGATTTTATGAAAAGCCATGATGTTCTGCATCATATTGTCAGCAAAAAGATATCTAGCATTCTTGTGGGTTTATCCTTTACCTGAGAATGTAATGCTTTTGCACTTCTTGTGGGTTTATCCTTTACCTGAGAATGTAATGCTTTTGCACAAAGAGTTGATCAGCATTTTATGTTGTTCAATATGAAGTTGGTTTATCCTTTACCTAAGAATGTAAAGCTTTTGCACAAAGAGTTGATCAGCATTGTATGTTGTTCAAATTGAAGTTGGTTTATCCTTTAGAGAAGGTAATGCTTTTGCACAAAGAGTTGATCAGCGTTGTATGTTGTTCAAATTGAAGTTGTTGAGAGTTTACTGCACAGCTGGCTTATTGGTTGTTGTTTACTTTTGCAGCTAGATTGATCTCAAAGAGCTTTGAAAGGTTTGAAAGATAGGTGCAGTAGCTTGTTGGCATTGGCATGGCAGAGGAAGAGATTCCCATGGGCCAAGTCACTCCTGAGGAGAAGGACGATGGTGTAGTTGAAGAGCCCAGTACACCTGTGAAGCAAAGGCCAGCTTCCAAAGCAAAGACCCCAAAATCGAAGAGCCCAAAAGCAAAGAGCCCTAAAGGGAAGAAGCCCAAAGCAAAAGGAAAGAGCAAGCCAAAGCCAAAGCCAAAGGCAGGCTCTTTGAAAAGGCCTGCTGCCAGTGGAGAAACCGTACAGCCAAAGAAGAAGCCAGCAGCTCATGGCTGGGCAGCAGGGTTGCAGGAGGATCAGGAGGAGGAAAGCGCCAGAAGTTGAAGAGGATGAACCAAGAGAATGTGGAGGAGGAGGAGGAGCAGGACAATGCAGACTTCTTCGAGTGCGATGAGGCCAAGAAGGACAGGTCGAAGGACAACAAGTTCAAGGCCTTGTTGTCTGAGGGCTCTCTGCCAGACTATGTTGCGCAGGCTTGGAAGAAGACCTTGAGCATGAAGAAGGGACGCACAGAAGAACAGCGCAAGATAGTGAACCAAGTCCTGGACAGGACAAAGGATGGAAAGCTCATGGTGCTTATACCCAAGTTTTTTCTTGTGCTTGTCTTTCCTGCGTGCTTATACCTAAGTGTGTGTGCTTGTGGTTTTATCCAAATGTCTCTACTTGTGGCTATATGTTTTACAAATTACTTTCTTCAAAAGATGTGTTTTAGATGCAGTTTTGAATATTTGCAAATCAAAACGTAATGAAAAATAGGAAAACCCTTA